GCTAAAAACCATTCGCTCCTTTTCACATATTAAAATGCGTTTTTTCTCGAAAACTATTTGAAGTGCGATCGAAATTTTTTAATAGCATTTTCCTTATGTCATAAGGTATCAACGTTGTGAAAATCATCAAAATCGGAAACAAAAAATTTTCATCCAAAATCGGAATCCAAAACGTGATGCTAGCATCATGCTATAAATTCAGTTTTTTCTTATTTACTCGGCAACCGTTGAGATATTAAAATGCAGTTTTTTTCACGTTATTCTAGCCCACAAGACAATTCGAATGACGTCTAATTGAAGCTTCTACGTGCCCGGGAAGTCGGTGAAAAATTAAAAAAACTAACAATTTTTTCGTCCATTTTTGGGCATTTTTACTCGTGAAATCTTTAAGCGCCCATAACTTTTGAACGAATCATGATAGGACATTGATGTTTTCGGATGAAATATTCTAAATCAAAAGATCTTTAACCCAGTATAAGAGTTTTTAAAATACCTCTCACCGTTCGCGAGATATAGCCCAAAAACTGTTTCAAATTATCAAGTTTGAAACAGTTAAACGTCTATATCTCGAAAAATATTCAACATAGGGTCATGATGTGTATGAATGAAATATGCGCATTTAAAATATGTATCTGCAGGTGCAAAAATTTTTATGATAGCTCTAACCGTTTCCGAGATATTCGCTAAAAACCATTCGCTCCTTTTCACATATTAAAAATGCGTTTTTCTCGAAAACTATTTGAAGTGCGATCGAAATTTTTTAATAGCATTTTCCTTATGTCATAAGGTATCAACGTTGTGAAAATCATCAAAATCGGAAACAAAAAATTTTCATCCAAAATCGGAATCCAAAACGTGATGCTAGCATCATGCTATAAATTCAGTTTTTCCTTATTTATTCGGCAACCGTTGAGAATATTAAAATGCAGTTTTTTTCACGTTATTCTAGCCCACAAGACAATTCGAACGACGTCTAATTGAAGCTTCTACGTGCCCGGGAAGTCGGTGAAAAATTAAAAAAACTAACAAATTTTTCGTCCATTTTTTGGGCATTTTTACTCGTGAAATCTTTAAGCGCCCATAACTTTTGAACGAATCATGATAGGACATTGATGTTTTCGGATGAAATATTCTAAATCAAAAGATCTTTAACCCAGTATAAGAGTTTTTAAAATACCTCTCACCGTTCGCGAGATATAGCCCAAAAACTGTTTCAAATTATCAAGTTTGAAACAGTTAAACGTCTATATCTCGAAAAATATTCAACATAGGGTCATGATGTGTATGAATGAAATATGCGCATTTAAAATATGTATCTGCAGGTGCAAAAATTTTTATGATAGCTCTAACCGTTTCCGAGATATTCGCTAAAAACCATTCGCTCCTTTTCACATATTAAAAATGCGTTTTTCTCGAAAACTATTTGAAGTGCGATCGAAATTTTTTAATAGCATTTTCCTTATGTCATAAGGTATCAACGTTGTGAAAATCATCAAAATCGGAAACAAAAAATTTTCATCCAAAATCGGAATCCAAAACGTGATGCTAGCATCATGCTATAAATTCAGTTTTTTCTTATTTACTCGGCAACCGTTGAGAATATTAAAATGCAGTTTTTTTCACGTTATTCTAGCCCACAAGACAATTCGAATGACGTCTAATTGAAGCTTCTACGTGCCCGGGAAGTCGGTGAAAAATTAAAAAAACTAACAAATTTTTCGTCCATTTTTTGGGCATTTTTACTCGTGAAATCTTTAAGCGCCCATAACTTTTGAACGAATCATGATAGGACATTGATGTTTTCGGATGAAATATTCTAAATCAAAAGATCTTTAACCCAGTATAAGAGTTTTAAAATACCTCTCACCGTTCGCGAGATATAGCCCAAAACTGTTTCAAATTATCAAGTTTGAAACAGTTAAACGTCTATATCTCGAAAAATATTCAACATAGGGTCATGATGTGTATGAATGAAATATTCGCATTTAAAATATGTATCTGCAGGTGCAAAAATTTTATGATAGCTCTAACCGTTCCCGAGATATTCGCTAAAAACCATTCGCTCCTTTTCACATATTAAAAATGCGTTTTTCTCGAAAACTATTTGAAGTGCGATCGAAATTTTTTAATAGCATTTTCCTTATGTCATAAGGTATCAACGTTGTGAAAATCATCAAAATCGGAAACAAAAAATTTTCATCCAAAATCGGAATCCAAAACGTGATGCTAGCATCATGCTATAAATTCAGTTTTTTCTTATTTACTCGGCAACCGTTGAGAATATTAAAATGCAGTTTTTTTCACGTTATTCTAGCCCACAAGACAATTCGAATGACGTCTAATTGAAGCTTCTACGTGCCCGGGAAGTCGGTGAAAAATTAAAAAAACTAACAAATTTTTCGTCCATTTTTTGGGCATTTTTACTCGTGAAATCTTTAAGCGCCCATAACTTTTGAACGAATCATGATAGGACATTGATGTTTTCGGATGAAATATTCTAAATCAAAAGATCTTTAACCCAGTATAAGAGTTTTTAAAATACCTCTCACCGTTCGCGAGATATAGCCCAAAAACTGTTTCAAATTATCAAGTTTGAAACAGTTAAACGTCTATATCTCGAAAAATATTCAACATAGGGTCATGATGTGTATGAATGAAATATTCGCATTTAAAATATGTATATGCAGGTGCAAAAATTTTTATGATAGCTCTAACCGTTCCCGAGATATTAGCTAAAAACCATTCGCTCCTTTTCACATATTAAAAATGCGTTTTTCTCGAAAACTATTTGAAGTGCGATCGAAATTTTTTAATAGCATTTTCCTTATGTCATAAGGTATCAACGTTGTGAAAATCATCAAAATCGGAAACAAAAAATTTTCATCCAAAATCGGAATCCAAAACGTGATGCTAGCATCATGCTATAAATTCAGTTTTTTCTTATTTACTCGGCAACCGTTGAGAATATTAAAATGCAGTTTTTTTCACGTTATTCTAGCCCACAAGACAATTCGAATGACGTCTAATTGAAGCTTCTACGTGCCCGGGAAGTCGGTGAAAAATTAAAAAAACTAACAAATTTTTCGTCCATTTTTTGGGCATTTTTACTCGTGAAATCTTTAAGCGCCCATAACTTTTGAACGAATCATGATAGGACATTGATGTTTTCGGATGAAATATTCTAAATCAAAAGATCTTTAACCCTGTATAAGAGTTTTTAAAATACCTCTCACCGTTCGCGAGATATAGCCCAAAAACTGTTTCAAATTATCAAGTTTGAAACAGTTAAACGTCTATATCTCGAAAAATATTCAACATAGGGTCATGATGTGTATGAATGAAATATTCGCATTTAAAATATGTATCTGCAGGTGCAAAAATTTTTATGATAGCTCTAACCGTTCCCGAGATATTCGCTAAAAACCATTCGCTCCTTTTCACATATTAAAAATGCGTTTTTCTCGAAAACTATTTGAAGTGCGATCGAAATTTTTTAATAGCATTTTCCTTATGTCATAAGGTATCAACGTTGTGAAAATCATCAAAATCGGAAACAAAAAATTTTCATCCAAAATCGGAATCCAAAACGTGATGCTAGCATCATGCTATAAATTCAGTTTTTTCTTATTTACTCGGCAACCGTTGAGAATATTAAAATGCAGTTTTTTTCACGTTATTCTAGCCCACAAGACAATTCGAATGACGTCTAATTGAAGCTTCTACGTGCCCGGGAAGTCGGTGAAAAATTAAAAAAACTAACAAATTTTTCGTCCATTTTTTGGGCATTTTTACTCGTGAAATCTTTAAGCGCCCATAACTTTTGAACGAATCATGATAGGACATTGATGTTTTCGGATGAAATATTCTAAATCAAAAGATCTTTAACCCAGTATAAGAGTTTTTAAAATACCTCTCACCGTTCGCGAGATATAGCCCAAAAACTGTTTCAAATTATCAAGTTTGAAACAGTTAAACGTCTATATCTCGAAAAATATTCAACATAGGGTCATGATGTGTATGAATGAAATATTCGCATTTAAAATATGTATCTGCAGGTGCAAAAATTTTTATGATAGCTCTAACCGTTCCCGAGATATTCGCTAAAAACCATTCTGGTACATTTATACATACGCAGTTCGGACGCATTTGGGACTTCGAAAATATTATTTTGATCTTTTCAAGTATCAGGAGCACACGCGCCCTCAAGATATAATGCCTGTGAGAGCGTTTCTAGTTGTTTACATAAATATATATTAGAACGTCATTCTCATTTGTTCCTTGCAGATGTTCAGTTTACTTTCATCTCACAAATATATGTTATAGAGAACCATTATTAAAGTAGCAATATGTTAAGTATATCAGATCCTAAATTGAAGTCAGTTAGTAATAAGTTTAAAACCAAATTTTACGTTGATATAACAGTTATTAATTAAATAAAAGAAAAGTTCAAAATTTCGTTTGATATGTGCATTTTGCAAAGAAAAATTTGCTGTAAGTGAATTAAGCCAAAATCGTAACTGAATAATTTCACACCATTTGTCAGAAATCAACTTATATGCTAAAATAATATATAATTAGAATTATAATATCAAAAAAAAAAAAATCCAGTTTTGTGTGCCTTTATGTTTTTGTAATTTTGCATTTTCCTTATGTCATAAGGACAAATAAAATAAATCATCAAAATAAAATTTTATTTTCTTCAGCATTTAATAAAAAATTTGGGACTTTTTTTTGGTTTTTGTCAAGTTACTCACAAATATCAACGTACAGCACCCCTTCTAAGTTAGACAGGGAGAAACTAGATAAAATTTACTACGATTACATACCAACAGTTATATACATTCCGATATAAAAGTAAATAAAAATTTAATAAAAATATTTTTTGTGTACATACCATCATGATGATATTCGTGAAGATATAGGAAGACATTATTATAACTTGAAATATTGACACAATGGCAAGAATGATTTGTTCCAACAAAGTTCCATCTTCTTCCACAGTTTCTGAAGGTAAAACAAAAACAAAATTATTAACAATTTCTATTTAAAATCTAGTAATTAATAAATTAAATTTTTACCATTCATGTCCTGCATTTGTATATTTTCTTCAGGAACCTCACTATTTGTGGTTCCAACTGCTTCTTGAGTTGTAGAAGTCTGTTTCATGTATCTTCTACCAGGACTTACACCTCTTATTAACTAAATAAATAAGATAGTATTAAAAATTTATTTGGATATATTTACGTTTTTATTAATAATTATATAACAATTAAAAATTAAATAACTATTTGTCTCAATTTGTTAATACCAAGAAAAGTGCAGACAAATTATTTACAATTTGCAGAATAACGAGAATTTTATAAATATTAAATTTAAAAACAAAAATTACTTCAAGTAGTAACAAATATATAAGTATGTTTTAATTTTAATTACATAAATTTAAAAAACGTATTATTTTAATTATTTTAAAGAAACCATTTCCATCGACTAGAAAACATTATTTTTACGTGTGCAGAAATAAATAAATATCGTTCAGAATTTCAGAATTATTGCTTTTTTTGATTATTTTTTAGAGTTTTTTTTGTGTGAAGATTTTAAAAATATAAGAATCTTACAATATTATTATTATATTATTAATTTAGAAATTTACTTATAAAAGTTTATTTTACTAATTGTTATAATAAATTAATTTTGTTCAGAATTCTGGAATAGTTTCTTCTTTTCATTATTTTTTTAGAGATTTTTTGTGTAAAGATTTTAAGCAAACAAGAATATTTTATCAAAATTTATACTTTAGAAAATTACTTATAAAAAAATATTTTTACTTATTATAATAAATTATTTTCGTTTAGAATTTTAGAATTATTGCTTGGTTTAGTAATTTTTTTAGAGATGTTTTGTGTTATGATTTTGAAAATATAAGAACCTTATAATATTATTTATAATTTAGAAATCTATTTATAAAAATTTATATTTATTTATTGTTATAGTAAATTAATTTATTTTAGAATTTTCTTAGAGACTCTTTGCTAAAAGATTTATAAATTAGAAATAAATTTAGAAATATTTATTATTTTAGTAGTAATAAATAAATTTTGTTTAGAACTATAAAATTATTGCTACTTTTAATAATTTTTTTTAATGATTTTTGGCATAATGATTCATAATTATAAATATGAGAACATTTATATTCATTATTTAAAACTTAAAAATAAACTTAAACATTTTACTTTTATTGTAATAAATTATTCATAGAATTCTAAAATTATTGCTTTTTTTAAACGATTTTTAGGGACTTTGAACAAAAAAATATTACACATATTAAACAATCATAATTATTATTTATAATTCCATAAGTTAGTACTTTAACACTAAACATAATTTTTAATTTATTTTATTAAAATCTGCAACTATATAAAAGCCTATCAAATAACATTTTTATACCAAAAGATTTGAATAAAAAATAATATAGCAGTAATATATATTTAGTATGTAAAAATTTTAATAATATATATTTTTAAAAATTTTAAAGCATTTACAAAATATGATTTAATTCGAAAATATAAAATAAGAATAAAAAAATATATAAAATTCTTGAAAAATATAATATTTTCGTTAGATATATTTTTGTACTCCAAATATATATTTGAAAAAAAAATAAAAAGCCTAATAAATTTTTAGTATATTACATACTCACAAGGTACTATTAAATTTAAAAATTACTTCAAATAAATTAATAACAAATATATTATTTTTGAAATATATAAAATCCACCACCTATGTAGAAAAATGAATATAAAATTCTACAGGTGCAAAAGAAGATGCAGTGCAGTAAACAAAAACCAATTATTAATGAAAATACGTAAAAAATCTTGAATAAAAATTCACCATGTATATTAATATATTAAAACTAAAAAAAAATAGAAATATGTTATACAAAAATGATACGTACAGGCGTCGTTTCGTTCATCTTTCGACGTGCTTTATTTGTTCTATTTTGAACCTAAAACAAATTAAAACAAAAACAAATAAAAGCAGGAAAATTTTGTGGTTAGTACTGCAAAATTAGTAAAAACATACATAAAACAATGATAGAAAAATAAAGTGTGATACAAATATTTTTGGCCGGATCAGCAAAAAATTACTTAAGACAGGTGTCGACATCTATCGAAGCGGCGTGTAATCACAACAAAAAGCGCAAAGAATTTAGTTAAAATTTTGAAAAATTTGAATAATCTACTCGTAATTTTGTAGTGGCCGTTCTCCATTTATCAGTGGTAGTTTTAGCAGAATCAGAGGTCGATCGCACCAGTTTGGCCCTGGACAAACGTGCAGAAACTTGACGCGTCAAAGAGCCGCTAAAACTTCCAGCGTCAAGTTTTGATAATTTTCTTTCCCTCTACAGAATAATAATCCGAGACCATAGAGCAGCATGGGAATAAATGATTATGATAAAAAAAACTACTCGAAAACCAGAATTATTGAATCCAAAAAAATCTACTTAAGGTGAATGTTTGAAGTTACTAACCTGTGGTTTGAGCAAAACTTTTGTTTCTAAAATCATGGTGTAGTATAAAAGATACAAGGCTACTGGGTTTACAAACGATGCCCATTCTACATCCAAAATTGTTATTATACGAGGATTTTGGCAGTTCCACGTAAACAGTTGTGTGATACCAAAATATCTGGGGAATAAAAAACAAAACGTTGGCAAAGGTACTTAAAATAAACCACATAGTAAATAACATAAACTTAGTTTGGGGGTATTCTAGTGTAGAAATTCCGAAAAATCGATTTTTTTATTTCATATTTTCAAAGCTTAACTATCTAAGAATATGGGTACGAGAAGGTTTTTGAAAATTTGAATTATTTTCGGAGATATAGGCATTTTACTGACTCGGTCTCCATACTGGTTTGGCCTCACGCAAAACTTTAAATGCGTTTTTCCCAGAACAGACTTTTTCAGTACTGTTGACACGATTTCTCGAGTTCTACTCGACCGATTCACTTGAAATGTTCAGAGAGTCTTGTTTATAGACCTATCTGTAGCCCGAACTAGCATCATCCCCAAATTACAATTTTTACTATTTTTAAAAAAATTGAGAAACTCAAAAAACAGTAAAAAAACACTTTTTTCAAACAGTCGCCAATTTGCGAAAAAAAATTTTTACTCATCGCTAGTTTGGGCGATTACGACATCATTGTAGATTAATAATCTTTTTAACTAAAAATGAAAATTTTTGCATTTCTCGACGTTTTGAAGGTTTCTGAACATTTTACTGGCATACCTCAGATAAAATGGATGTGTGTATTTGTGTGTTTTGTATGTCCGAAGTTTTTCGTCCACGTTTTCGGGCGCACGGATCAACCGATTTGAATGGTTCAAAAAACGTTCGATTCCTATTGATAGGGCAATGTGTTGATTAGTTTTTGGCAAAGACAGGTCCAGCCGTTACGGAGATAGGGAGCAAAGAGTGCAAAAAATACAAATCGAGTTTTTGAGAGAACGGAGCATCCGATTTGAATGATCTAAAAAACATTCAATTTGTAATGATTGGGGAAAGAGGTGATTAGTTTTTGGCAAAGACAGGTCCCGCCATTTCGAAGATACAGAGCTAAAATGTGCAAAAAATGGCAGTTTTTGAGTGAACTAAGCGTCCGATTTGAATGATCTAAAAAACCTTCTGCTAGTATTGACAAAACAATTGCTTTTGAGGATAAAAAATTATGACATCTTCTTAATATTTTCCATAAAATATTTTTGTGATTTTGGATTAAAAATTCAAAAATTACACGCACAGTCTAAGCGCCACTCTGGTACAAATGTTTACCCAAGTGCGTTTAGACAGTTTATGTCGGAGCACTTTTTCAATTTTGTGAATTGAATTGAAAAATGTGAAAATGCCGCCAAGCTAAGCACAGTATAAGTGAAAATGTCGCACAGAATTATTTGGAAATGCGTTTAGACTGTGACTATACGGGAGCACTTTTTCAATTTTGTGTAAATTAGGCAACTACTTTTTTTGAAATTGAATTCGAAATGAAATGACGATTGTTAATGTAATAATTGATTTATGATTTACATTTGATTTGCTCAGATACAACAAGATAGCAAAAATAATGAAAGTTACAGTATTTGTAATAATATATTTGAAAACGTTTAAAATTTCTCGAATATTTCATTACGGTACGGGAAGTTCCAGCAATTTGCCTTAAGGCACGATGCCATACACCTCACTAGTTATTTCTTTTATTTCGGAGGGCTGAAATCATGTCAAGACTTAGGTGAAAATTTTTTGAGACCCCCCACTTCGCCAGTTCCTTAAATTTTCAACTTTTTGTTTTTTTAATTTTTGTTTTGTATTTTAATAGTATTAATAAACAAGTGGTAAAAAATGGATAGTAAAAATATTCATTGCTTTCTTCTAAAAATGACCTAAAATTCATCGCTCTACACTAGAATACCCCCTTAAAATAAACCATATATTAGTTTTAGTACCTGGTCCATTTTACTGAAGGCGGTAGCAAATCTTGAAACATTTGCAATTGATACAAATAAAGTACTACAATATGAACTATGAGTAAAGGTGCTACGAAAAGGCGGCAACTTAAAGCAAATTTGCGTCCTAAACTTCGGCAACATGACCACCAAGTCGCCGATGCCAAAAATGTTAAAAAATAAACACTGTTGGGAATGGAAGGCCGCATAGAACCAGCTATGCACAGGAATGCTAAGAGCATATATTTACCTATAAAAAATAAATTGTAAACCTTGATAGAATGAGTTTTATTTACTTGGTTATCATTTTACCTAGTTGTGCCAAAAATCTCTTAATTTTCTCATTACTTTTCCCACTGTGCATATCACTATGAAGACTGGCGCCGATGCCAATTTCGGCAGTGGCGGCACCATCACCACTACCCCTATCAGCACCAGTTTCAGCATCCAAGGGCAACAAAGGGTTAGTATCAGCTGGTCCTTGTTTGCTCAATTTTACCACACTCAGGTACATCAAAAAACATCCCACGAAGGTCAAGACTTCTGGCATCACCCATCGCACTATCTGGAAAAAAATTAATTTAGACAAATATTTTGTAATGATAAATTTTAAATTCTACTTACCTCTCTGGCGTATAAATCATTCAATCTAACGAAACCGATTTGCCTAAGAATGAACTCTATATTACTACAATTTGTTAAAAATGCTCCATATGGTGCCAAGCATATTAATGTTATGTGGAAGACTACGTGGGCGATGGCTGTTAAAAAAGCGAGGACTAGAAGAATTTTCCAAAATTTTCCTGTGATTTCTGAAAAAAAAACAACAACAATACAATGAGCAAAAAATTTTTTTTCCAAAAATTTTCGAAATATTGAGAAAAGGTTGCCTAAGTCGTACCACCGGATAAAATTCATCTGTTATTTATAAGTGGCATTATCTGGTACTGTCAAATTGTACTAATTATAAATGAATAAATAAATTTTAACAATTTGAAAGTAAGGCAATTTGTGCAGCTGTATGAATTTTTTTCTTGCCAATGCTTACATGTAATATATATTCGATAAATGCTTAGACATATTTAAATGGTAGAATTTGTTGAAGTCCTGTGATTAGTATTAATTTCAAACTTCAAAGATTCGTATCGGTTTAATGGAGAGAGTTTAACAATATTGCAAAGTTTTTGTTCAAGTTGGAAACATCAACTTTTACTAATAAATCTACTAAACTTACCAAAAAAAAATACAGGTTCATCTCTATTCTTAGTACCTACATCAGATTTGATAATTTAATAATATATTCGTTATTTTTTAAGATTATTATTTTAATTTTAATGTTATATTGATAATTTTGTTCTGCAGACTAAATTCTATATAGTTTTTTAGTTATAGGTACGACTTAAGCGACTAGGCTCCTTAATCGTAGCGAAAGCACATTTTTGATAAAGGAAAATATACTTATTTTAATAAATATAATTTGAATTTTAGTAATTGTTAAACTATGTACAAATTCAACAAAAGGCAACTATTTTTTTTCAATGTAATTGCACTAAACTCATAGAATTATTTCCTTGGAGGTACGACTTAAGCAACCTTACCTTATAACGGTAAAAATTATTTGTACATTTTTTTTCACCCAAAGGTTTTAAAATTAATCGTTACTAACATTAATTGAATTCAAATATTTTTAAATAATACAAAGCAAAGACTATACTTGGGTGTTGATTTTAAAATTTTTAAAGACTGAACTCATCTAAGTGCTTTTTTATTAAGGATTGTGGAATTATTTCGATATTTCTAAATCATCAGTGAAAATTAAGAAGAAAATTTGTATGTTATTTATTATATTTTTTGTAGTTTTTGTGTTAATTTTTACTTACTTTTCATAGAATCCGAAGTTGCAATCGGTACCCAGGGCAATGCAAGTAGTAATAACAAGTACAGGAATGATAAGCCACATGGTCTGAAGGAAATTGCTGAAAAATAAAGAAAAATTTGAATAAATATCTTGCAAACTCTAAAATCATAATTAAAAATCAAGGTATATTTATTAATAAATTATATAAATAAATCTAAAAAAATTTAGGTCCACTGAATGAAGGCTAGGACTATGACCGAAACGTATGAATTTAAGAATAAAATTTTAAAGAAATGCATGTTTTTCCTATATATTTCGTATATATAAATATATATCTATATATATATATATATGTGTGTATATGTGTCTGTTTATATGAAATATGATACTTCCAATCGCAATTAGGTTGACAAAATATATATCATCGACAAGGTTAACAGAATCGCCTGAATCACACCCATCGATTTAGAATTATTTGTATATGCGGTTTGTTTGATTTGATTTGATTTAGTTTGTCTGTATCGTTTTATATTTCGACACGTTTCTGTGAAATGAATTATGAAATCGTGAATCATTAATAGAAAATCGCTTTTATTATCGCAGATGGCACATTTTTAAATAAAGCTAATCTAATGACGATTATAAATATAAAATAGTACGGAGAGAAAAATCTTTCCAGAAAATAATAAAGATAATTCATTCAAAAAATATATAGAGAAAGAAATTAATAAATTATTACTGTGTTAAGTAATATTAAATAATAAATCCATCAACCGCCTCAGCTTTCGAGCAAAAGCATTAGTGTTATTAAATCCATATATTATTTTATGGTATCGTTTTGCATTACGAATGGCTGTAAATATTTTTAATTGCCGGTTGCAGTTGTGGTTTACGAGAAATATCACCTGTGGGAAATCAAACAATAATAAATTCAATGAACTGTCGCACTTTATTTTATTATTAGATCCATTTGATGAATATTCAACAGTTCCGCAAATAGGCATTTAAGTAGAAATTGTAGCTACGGAAATAGCACCTAATTTAATTAATAAAAAATAATTATGTACGTTACATCATTTTAATTACATATTATATTATACCAATTTCATTCATCTTATTAGATTATTCGTAAATTGTTCTCTTAGAAATGCAAGTTTTGTCTTGTTGCTCAATTACATTAAGTTATTTACAATATCCAATTCATTCAAAGCTTTTGATCTAGTTGAATATGCAATAATTAACACAAAGTATGCACATATGTTTTAGTTATAAATTTATGTTGTTTTTCATAATATATTACTATAGTTTGTGGTTCACACTAATGTGTTTTTAATTCTGTGAGAAGGAACGTGACAAAATCACAATTTAGTTTGGCTTCGAGCTAATCGAAATTTGAAAATATTTCTGGTACATAATTTTATAGTAATTGTTTACAGTTTTGTATTATTATATCAGATTCGAAATTATTTTATGCCTTTGGAAAATTTAGATCAAATCTCTATAAACAGATTTATATATTTCTATAAATCGGAATTCCACTTTTAATAATAATTTGAATTAGTTTTGTACAAGTTTATAATTTTTTATTGCTGTTTTTTCAGTGATTAAAAAATTTAAAAAAATTGAAACTAATAACTTGATATTATTCATTAGATCTAGTACACAATTAATTTTGTGGGGTTTTTCATTATAATTCTAGTTTATATATCTAAAAATTATTTTTTATAGAGAATTCATTTCTGAATTTACGTGGAATTTAATAAAGAATTAAAAGTTTCAGCAGATATATTGGAACAAATTAAAGTTCTCCTGAAAATCTCATTAATAATCAAGACTTTCATACTATAATATGTTATTTATCTGTTATTTATAATTTATTCTATTACAAATAAAACTTAATTTAAGCTATAACACTAAACTAGTGCAAAAGAGTTTTTTTGCTTTTGGATTTATTTCTTAAAATTGTCATTGTAAAAAAAAATATTTATGTACGGGACTAATAACAGGCGTTTTTTAAAAGGTTGTTAGAATATTAAATTTTTTTTTGTGTCGATTGGAGTTAATGTCCTACAGGCCGTATACAGAAGTGTGCAGGTGCGTCATTTTTGACAGACCATATAAATGTACGAGGTCTGTTCAAAAAGTACCCGGAATTTTCGTTTTTTCAAAAAAATATTTATTTATTCGTCTACATTAATGTGGTCCCCTTCAAAGTAGTCCCCCCCAGATATAATACACTTATGCCAGCGTTTTTTCCAATTTTCGAAGCACCCTTGATATTCACTTTTTGATATGTTCTTGAGCACTCTCGGTGATTTTCTTCAATCGAGGAAACCGCCGTCCTTTCATGGGTCTCTTCAACTTTGGGAATAGGAAAAAGTCACACGGAGCCATATCTGGTGAATTTTTGCACTTTGCAACACTTTATTTCATTTTTTACGCAAAATTTAATACAAATTCTTTGACTTTTCAATTCTTCCATTGTAAAAATCGCCGAGCTCAGAAAAACACGTCGAACCTTAGCGACTACCACAGACAAAGTAAACAGTGAATATAGCTGAAAATTTCATCATACTTTAGGGGCATGTATACCAACACAATAAAAAAAAAAATTTGACAATCAGACACTCCAGACCCGCGAAATTTAATTATTAGTAATTCCGGGTACTTTTTGAACACACCTCGTATACTATCAAATAAACTAAGCAGTGGTACGACTTAGGCAACCTCATAATTGTTTTATAAAAAAATTACCACTACTTGACCTTTCAAAATTGAATTTTGAATGATTCAAAAAAACATTTTATCTGTATTGACAAAATGAAGAATTTATGAAATTTTTGGTGAAGCAGGTCTAGCAGTTTCAGAGATATAGAGAAAAAAGTAAAAAAAAATGATTTTTTGCGTTAAAAAAAATCATTGGACATATGTATATCAAATTATGAGATATTTGATAAAAAAATTAAAATTGAACACTAATTTTGTTACAATTTTGTTGGGTTTCGTACCAAGATTGTTAATTTTTAAAGTTTACTTATACGGTTCAAGCAAATTTTAAAATATACAGAAAAATTTTTTTTCAAAATTTTCTAAAATATACAAAGTTTTATACTTAAAATATGAATTATAAATTTACAAATCAGTTTGAAAATGTATATATTTCAAATGCGTTATTCTAATCGTAAAAAATATATCCTCAGATAGATTTATTGTAAACTTTCTCAAGTGCTTTGAGCGGTAAGATCCTCTATGTATATTTTATGAATGATAAAATATATAGTCACTATAAATTGTTATTAATCATTGATTGATATTTATTGATTACTGTTTTTTTCCTCGAATATTTAATTCTGGTACGGGAAGTTCCAGCTATTTGTAAGGCACGATGCCACGCACCACTAGTTTCGTTCCAGATTTATCAATTTTTGTGATTGCTAAATTGCCTTAATAGTTACCTTAATTAATATAAAAATAATTACACCAGGGGTTAGTTGAAACATAAAACTTGGGGCTAGTTCAAACAAAAATATTTAATGATCAATGCAAACTGATACTATCCAATCCACAAATTTCGAGTATTTCATATTTTTCTATTCCACGGTTGGTAATTAAATTAATTCGTCGACTTTTTGCGCACCACAGCCGAGCCTATATATAATACTATGCCTATGTATAATTAAATCCAACACGAAAGTCCCTTTACGGCCTATCTCTCTAGTCCTACGGCTGACTCTAGTCTAAATGAATTCCTGCCTCAATAATTCTGAGTGGCATATAAAAACTAATTGTCACACGAACTAGGGACATGTGAATCGTTTCTCTACTTTTTAACCTAATCATACAAATGTACCTTAGCTAAAGCCAAGCCAAATGAAAGCCTCCTCGTGTTGTATTTCGCGATTGCGTGCGCCTTTCTGCCGCCGAGATAATAAACAATGTGAGGAGCTA